CACGCACGCACGCACGCGCGCGCACACGCGCGCACACGATCTCTACAGCACGGCAGAGTTTGCAAAAGCTTTGGGCCATGGCCATGGCCGTGGAAGCGGTTCTCCTCGAAGTAGCCCTCAGAGGGAGGACCACCCTCCCACGACTCGCATGTCCCCTTCTAGGCGTCACCTTGTAGACACATGCACCCAAGCTGTCGCTCCAGGTAAGCATCCCAACCTAGCCGGAGCTCCGGGAACTTGCAATGGACCGTGCAGGCTTCCGTGTCTCAAGATATCTTAAGTCTTGGCCTCGCACGCCATGCATGGCCTCATCTTTGAAGTGCCCCACCTGTGCGAGGTTGTAGCTTGGTGTAACTTGGTCACTCTCTCCGACTGGAGAAATACAAACACCGAAACCCAACACAAACGCGCAGAACGGAACCGAGAGGGTCAGAGGGCCACAGATTCGTCAGTAAAGTGGGGTCTTCGAAAAGCGTCCGCTTCGCGATGATGCAATATGAGGCCGGGAAACAGTAGGCATCCTTGATATTTCGTTTCTCTGGGACGCAGGACTGAAATTCAAAAGCAGGGAGGCCGAAACAGGTTTGACCTCGCCCAATGGGACAGCACATGTCAGGCTCCGACTCCACCTGTAATCGCGTAACCGCAATCGCGACGGTCCCAACCAGAGCCCCAGAAAGGAAAACCTCCGAGGCTCCGAGGCAAAGGCCTTCAGCGAGTCTCTGGGACTTTAAGGCTGTCAAGAGGCGGATACGTGCGACTGCTGGGCAACATGCACATGTTGCAACTCCACCCAACCACGGCTGTGTAGCTGCAGCCGTGCTATTTATTGCCTGCCAACTCTCAACTATCACGGAAGTCTGGTTCTGACTTAGCAATCAGGAAAACGCTTTCTGCACCCTTATCTCTGCAGTACACTTCCGACGACCACTAGAATCACTAAAAAAGAAGTGCCGCATATGACCTCAAGTCTCTGATGCCGATGCTTCTGGAACTGCGAAGCGAGGCTGCGAACAAATGCCGCGAAGCTGCTATCATGTGCAGAAGGCCTTGTCTTATAGCTGCAACCCCAGCAGGAAATGAAAACAGTTTTCTTGCCTCTCGACTTTCTTTTCCAGCTCATGTTCCACCCAGCTGCCGGTCAGCAGATCAGTTGCTTCGCAAAGTCAGCTGGGCTGGCTGGACCAGGCCGCGCGAGTCAACCCAACATAGGTAGGCTCCGCCTACCTTGAAGATCCCGGAGCCTTTTCAGGGTTGAGGTGCCGTCAGCACATGGGTTCCTTGAGCTTTCCCTTGCAAGTACACTACCTGCCCACCATCAATCACATCATTTGCCTCGCGCACAGATGGCCAGGATGCTGGACTGCAAAGACAATGAGGGAAATGCGGTTCTTTGAGCAAGGGCAAGAGACAGCAGAAAAATGCCAACAAAACACAGAATGAGCGAGCACAAGTACAGTCCCAACAAGCTACGAGACGAAGAAGTGCTGCCCAACACAAGGGCACGAGCGATATGCAATGTGCATTATGCGGAAGCAAAAAACAAACAAAGGAGATATCCCGCATATCCCACAGGCGCTCTTTACACCCGTGAATGGGGCTCGCTGGCTGATGCTCATCAACGCCCACAGATTCACATGCAGCATAATGTTAAAGCTCTTCGAAAAAGTGCAGCGCTTGCATTTGCATGATGACGACGCTTTCCAAAACGAGAGCTGAAATCCAAGCGCCGTGCATAACACCGGCCGTCTGACCACCGCAGAACACCATAGTGATGTATCCTTGACAGCTCAAAAGCAGGATAAAACAGTTGCGAGCGCTTCAAAGCTTGGACCCATGCTGGTTGTGCAACAGCCTGCCAGCATAGCTGCCTCTGCTGAGCGACTCAGTCTCATGCATGTCACCTGAAGGAAACGGCGGCCTGAAACAGCTCAGGGGTTAGCAACCGTTTGCCCAGGTCTTGGTTCCTTCTCCTGTTGCCTGAAGACATAAGCAGCACCAGTGGATGCCGATCTGTCTTGGTACAATATGAAGCCACGTAGCTCCACAGTCTTCGAAGCTCCCGGCGATACACGTCCCGTCCTGAAGTCAAGGGACCAAAGGATGTGATCTGGTTGGTACTTCCAGGCCGCGGGCGGCGAAGCGGTGAGTTCCAGGCCTCACGACACAGAAATCGTCGCCGTCGTTTTGCCTGTTTTCGGCACAATCCTGGCCTGGGGCACGGACCCAACGACTTCCGACCTCTGCCAGCGGCCCTCAAATTCGGTGGAGTCCGGCCAGTGAAAGGTGCCGTGGCCTTGGTACACGACATATGCCTCAAACGGCAGAAGACAGGATGAGGCACGCAGTACCACGTTGGCGCCTTCCAGTTCGCCGTCTTTGAACTCACCCTCCTGACATTTTCCTTTGGAAGCTCAAGGGACTTGAGAACAAACCGGCCAGCATTTCACACCAACTCCCGTCAGCGAAGGTTTTTCGACCACGCCCTGACAGCTGGCACTTGATGGGCTTCAGATCACAGGAATGCGAGCCTTCCATGCAGTCGTCGACAAACCTTCGCATCAATGCAAGGAATTGCACGTGCCCAGCTTCGTGCACAGGCATGCTGCGACGGCCCCAGGCCATACCGGCGCTCAGGGAATTCTAAGTTGAATGCCATGCTGGCAACCCCCTTTACTGTAACAGACACAGCTATGACTCGCCTACCTGTCCAGGCTTCAGTGTCGACTAATATGGCATTACCCGTGAGAACAAGGCATCGCGGGTTCGTCATTGAGCCCTCACTTCGCTCGCTACGTGCATACCTCGGTCATTCTTAACTTGGGAAAGCTCGTCTCAATATGTCGCATCCATGCGCCTCGACTCTCAAACGAAGTAAGGCTCGGGACTGCTTGGGGGGCACTCCGTTTCGACTCTGCAAGCCAGAGGCAGCCGCAGCCGGAGGCTTTCAAAGAAGTTAAGGAGCCGGCTGCCCCTCGTAACAAGCACCGCTCGGCCAGGTAAGGCCTGGTCTCTTTGGACGCATCGCTTGGCGCAAAGGCGTCATGCAGGACACATGTCAGCTGGAGTTCTGAGACGGCCACATCCATGCCCATGCCGGCATCCTTGCCTCCACTCCCCCACCTTGTAGCGGCAAGCCACAGTCGTTCAGAAGCAGAAAACTTGCCCAATCTCTCTTGGCTTGTAGCATAAACGGCACCATCAGGCAAAGTTTTCTGCCCATTGCCACACCTTAGAGCTACATCATGGTGTCATGGTGAAAAGGTGATGTCATGCAGACAGCCAAGAGAACAGCCAAGAGAAAAGAATCCGAGGTTGTATGCCCGCCGCATCTCGCCATGGATCCAGTGACCAGTGTAAACCCAGCCTGCAATCCGAGCACTTGCCCCAACATCAGATCTGCAGCATCTCTCCGCAGCCTTCCGCAGCACTTTCAAATTTGCCTTCCTGAGCTGCGACCGAGAACCCCCCGCCAGACGGGGCAAGACAGGTGGCAACCAAGGCCGCTCAATCCTGGGTACCGGGCGCCATCCGGCTCGCCGTGTCTGAACTCTCCAGTATAGCCTTTGCAAGATCAAGAAGCACCCACCCAGAAAGCCGTCATGCCTCGCCAGCCATGGGACTGTCCCCGTTGGGCCATGATCGGGTCCCTCGGCCATGGAAGACACCCTTGAAGAACCTCAGATTGGTGCACTTGCCCGCCTCCTAGGTCTTCCGAATCTGATGCAACTCTCACTTGGTCTCCCACTGGCCCGTGTATTTTTCACCAGTAGGCCAAGTCCTCAGAGTGCAAAAGGCTGTGTCATGGCACTTGTCCTTTCTTTTTGCACATGGCAAGTGTCCTGCATCACCGATGCATGAGTGCCGTTTTCCCCAGATGGCTGCTGGCACGGATGTCACGAAGTGCCTGTATTAGGCTCTAGATGTGACATCTCTGCAAGAGTTCCTTTGCAGGGACGTATGTACATGGAGCTCAAACAATCACCGCTCCGGCAAAGAAAACAGACCGAGAAAAGACTTCTTTTGATGGCCGAAGCCTTCCAAACGTCTAGAGATTTGGCTGGCCAGGGACTGCAGCTGCAGGAGGACCTGCAGCATGTCGCGCAAGCTTCCCTGGATCACCGCTTGCTTCTCTTCAATCCGGCCCTGGGTCTTGTCGACACTGCTCAAGACCGTGGCTAACTTCTCTGCGGCTTCAACACTCAGTCGCTGCATCTGCATGTGGATCTCCTGCTCCATCTCGGAGGGGCCCGGACCCCCTGCCGGAGAATCCCTGGCAGAACGCGCAGAGCGAGCTGAGCGAGCCGAGCGAGCGGAGGTTCGCCCGGAGTCGGCACTTCGCAGCTTGGGGCCTTGGCCAGAACCGGGCGCTCGCATGACAAAAACGGTCTTCATCCTCAATGTCTCTGACGGCTCACGGTGTGAGTCGATGAACATCGCAAGACAAGTATGCAAACACGCATCCCGGAAGGTTTTTGACGCTTCTGTTGCCGAAAGGTGTTCGCACACAGATAGCCTGAGCTGAGCTCAAACTCGCTTCATCTTGTACGCTTGTCATGGATTGGACACAAGTGTAAAATGCACAATCATGGCGCTGTGAATCCATACAATCTCGCTAAGTTGACCCACAGCTACTGTGAGCCGAGACTTGAACAAACAGAAACTAGCAGGGAGAGCCTAACGAAATCGCAGCTGACTGTCTAGAAGCATCGACAGAAGTCTATAGGCACCAACACGGGCGAGGTGAAGTTCACTTCGAGGCCTACCAGCACGTCTGAGGGTGCTGCAAAACTCGGTGAAGGGGAATGAGCGTACACCGACAATCCGGATCTCGCTAATCGAGAAAAAGTTGCAAGTGTGAGAGTGCGCGGGATGATGCGATGCAGGGTTCAATCTGGAGTCAGGTGTGGCAAGCCCAGAGTGAATGAAGGCTTTCTGCCTCGGCAGAGTCGTAGAAGCTTGCTAAAGTCTGACGGCGAGCCCCCAAGCCAAAGACTGGCAAAACGAGCTCAAACGAAACAAGGCCAAGCTTGGCGGTGCCCTCGAAGCAAATGGGGCAGATTTACGATTTATGCTGTTGAAAGAAAGCATTGGCAATCCCACATGCCTCCACGCATGCACTGGACTTGACGATGCCCTACGAACGACTTGACAGAGTCTTGTTCGGCAAGGAAGCTCATTTGGAAAATGCAGTACTGATTGGGTTTGAGTTATTGCGTTCAGCACAGGCTTGCTCAGAGAGATCCTTACGAGGGTTTGCGACAGTCGCCATGCGTGTTATCCGTGGGTCCAAGTGTACGGATAATCCCGACAAGTGTTGTTGCTGGCCGCATTCGTGCTCCAGTTCGGCCTCAAAATGCCTCAAACCCACGGGATGGGTTCGGGTTGAGTGCTTCAGCTTTGGATTGCAGAGTTCAGCAGATTTCAACTTCTGCTGGGGTACCAGCTGTCCCAGCAAGAGCAGTGGACAGGAAGATTTACGCATCCTCTGGGAAATCCGGGTCAGGCAAGCAGCTGGGCACGTTGTCGCTCCAGCTCTCGCAGTTAGAAACGGACTTTTGCCTATGTTGCTGTTTCTGTTCGATTCCTTCTGCACAGAGTGAAACCGCGGCCGCCATTTTTGGAAGTCGTCTCCTAAATCGCATAGTTTCCAACAAACTTTTCGGAGCAGCACCTGACGAGGCTCTCAACTTCGGGCTCTGCAGCGACTGCCTTGCCCCCTACATTCGTTGACTGGATCAATGCAGGAGGTGCAATGTGGTGTCTTGAGTAAACAGTCTTCGAATTCGGGCCAGCCAGTGACCTAAATTGGTTGCCTGAGCTGGCGAGTTCGTGCTTTAACGCGGCACGACTTCTGCTCAAGTTTCGCAAAAGTTCAAGTTGATTGACGCAAGTCGAGCGGTTTGAGGCCGTGCTATGATGCCTCCAACGCTGGTGCTTGGATGATTGTAGTCCTTATTTGCATTCAAGGACAAGAAATTGTGGAATGGCATGGGCGTCGTTTCCGCCACTGGTCTTCAAAACAGTGTGCCTTTTCCCTACCTGACCTAACTAATCCTTGACAACGGAGGAGGTATTTCAGCATCCTAGCGAGGCAACACCAAATAAATGATGTGGGCCTCGAATTCCAACGAGACCTTCCTTCGCAGACGGCAATGCAAGCTTACCGGCCGCCTTGGTCATCTCGAATCGGAGACCTTCCTTGTCCAAAATAAAGTCTAAGTCGAAGTCGTCACTCCGACTTTGCTGCATGTGCCAACTAAAACCTGGTACCGGTATGCCACAGAATCCTCACGAAAAGCATGGCAGGCAGATCCGCACCATGTGTCGTTAGAGGGTAGGTTTCATGACCTTGTGGGCTCGAAAGTTGCGGTTGACAGAGATGTTCTCGAAGAGGACCTTGAGTCTACACCCTTTCAATACACGTAAGGTCGTCAGCACTGTGCAGAGCAGCAGCAAAGACGAAGTGAGCAGACGGCTTCACAACTCATCCTCACTTTCCCTCAGAATATTTGTTGTAGGCATTGCTGGAATGCTATTAATAATTCGAGGGTGCGTGAGTGTTCTGCTGGTGGGGGGTGATTTGTGTCACGCGCCACACAAATCCTCGGTCACACTCGGCAGTTTCTGTGCCCCTATGTTGGCGCTCCTATTTCTGCGGCCGTGCTCAGGGCTGCAGTTTCTGAAATGATTGCGGCTCCTTCTCCTCCATGCGTTTCTTGCTGAGGTCTTACTGTCTTACTGTATTGGCGATCACGATTTCCACACATACGTGACATGTACACAAATACTTTATTGATTTCTACTACAGGGATTCCTTGTTGCGCTGCCATCTCAAGATACCGTGAAGCCAGAAAGGCGACAAGTCTCAGAGAAATAAGAAGCTACCGTGGACACTCTACAGGTCACGAAAAAGAGCAAACAGCGGAGTAGCGAAGCCAACCCAAAACCGACCCCATTCAAGCGAACACGGAACTCGGAGCCTCTGAAAATCTTGACCTCAACGAACAGCTTGCATCATCAGATCAATAGCGGATTTAAGGATCGAGCTGTTCGGCTGCGATGCCAAGCCATCTGCCTTTTCTCGGTCCTTCTCTGCACCCTCGTCGTCGTACCGCGTGTCGTAGAAGTCCAAGCGATCAAAGAGGAAGAACAAGCCGTTCCGCACTTTCCGCGTCTCCATCTCAAAAGCTGCCAGGTGACGAGAAGAATGCTTCAACTCGAACGGCGCTGTGGTTGCTTTCAGATGAGCTAACCAAGAGTTTTGCAAAGTGCGGGATGCTTGGGAGTGAGGAATGCCCGGAACGATCTGCTGCAGCTTATCAGCTGTGATCTGCCGGTCGGTTGCCAGCGCGATCTTTGGCCGGCCACTGGCTTCCGCCACGAAACTATCCCAGATATCGTTGAGACGCACGCGTTCTTTGCGTTTTAGCATTTTTCGTCTCCGATACATCTCCGTCATTTGAGCCCCCAGTGAGTCGGCGCTCGCCGACACTCGTTTGACATCCATATAGTTGTCGAGAATGATGGCCAACAGCATATTAAGAAGGATGATAACCACAAGAACCATGAACATGGTAAACCAAAGGTAGGCGCCAGTTCGACTGACCCGTTCCATTGGCATCCAATCCCAGTCTCCGAACATCATTCGGAAGGCAGTGTGCAAGGACCGAAACAAGTTACCAAAGGCTTCTTCGTCTCGTCCGAAAAGCAGGACGGCGTTCAAGCAAAGGCACGCAAGCACCGCGACAGATACGATGCCTGAGACTCGAGACAGCTAGGCAAGATGAAGTTTGCTAAGATGCATGCACACGAACTGCAGATGCCAGGTCTCGTATGATCTGGCGACACATATTCCAATTGTCGCATCAGAACTTTTCTGGATCTATGGTTGAAGCTGACTGACCCATATTCAACCCTCACGCCCAAGTCGTTGTACCAGGCCC